TACGCACCGCGCAAAGCCGCTTTCGCTGACAAGGACGCGGCATCGACTACGGTGGCTTGGTAGCGCGCCATCACACAGCTCCTTTCAGCACGTCCGTTGCTCCTCGCATCTGTTCGCATCTCCTCGCTACTGCGACTGTTCGAGGAGGTGCGACTTGATCACGGCACCCTCAGCAGTGCCAACTGCAGTGCCAACTGCTTCGGCGAGCCGGTGTAGGAAGGCGCGGATGCGCTACGCGAAACATGCAAGAACCCAAGTCCAAATTCCAAGACAAACAGAAAGGATGCAACCCTTCCACGTCGCGGCAACCCATGCGACACCGCCCCGAATTCAGCCAGGAAGGATAGAAAGAATACACGCCATGCGAAGAAGTGACCAGTTTTGAGATCCACATGGCACAGACTCGAAGACCCTTTCCACATCATAATGCTTCCTCAACAAGAAGTCATCTCGTGCAGATCGTCAGCAGTTTGAGTGAATTCTGAATCGGATCGTTTCTAAGCAATCTCAACGGCGTGAAAGAGCGGCTTCTGCTTTTCGAGAATCTTCCTGCTTGAGTTGCCAGTTGTAGATTGTGTCATGTAAGCTGTTCAACATGAGTTGGAACCCTGGGCCATCTCGGACATACCGGACCCGTATCTGTGGGAAATTGTTCGGTTTGTGAGTGGAAGATGCTGTCTTCGCGGTCTCCATTCGGGATGGCATCTTTCGGGCTTTTTGGGGTGCTCGTCTTTTGCTACAGGATCCGGATATGTTAACAGCTCCGACCCGATGGTGTAGACAAACAGCTTGGGGATGGTTCAGCAGAGTTGCCCTTGTGAAAAATCAGACCAAAATAAGTGGAATTTCCCACCAATCAAACTTCAGCCCGTTCATGTTTTCTTTCAGTTCTCGACTCCTAGACCATCAGCAATGTTAACAGTATTAATATCATGATGATGTGCCTCAACACATGCCGCCCATGCAGAACTCTCGTTTTGATGTGCCGAACGCCAAGCCTCCCACAGGGGCCTCGAGAAGGTACCCTCCTCATCTCCGACGCCATCGCCCGCAACTGGCACACCCGCAAATCACATGATCTACACTCGTTCAGTCTGACAGGAGCAGCACTGCCTATGCATGACTCATGAGGTTCTTTCCAACCGGCCTTCATCAAACAAAGCTCTTCGCTCGTCCAAGAACTTGACAGACCTCAGCAGCTTGTCGACCAGCTCCTCCATGGCAGAGACATCCAGCCTGGCCGACCTTGCGAGTCTCAGAGGGGGCCCCCACATTTGGCCCCCCCACATGGCAGCAAAACGTTCCTATACTACTGTACAACTGCAGATCCCTGCCAACTGCAGATCCCTGCCCGCCTCGAGAGATCCTTGGTTCCAAACTCCTCTGCCAAGGCATAGAGGAAAGGCCAGGAGCCTGCTTTTGGCTGAAAGCGCTTCGAAGCCTTGGAGGTCACCCAGGATTCGCTGACAGCTTTCGAGAGTTCCTCGATGCCCAAATGGCCATCTTGGTTGGCGTCCACGTATGCCCAAGCCCCGTGAGCTGCTTCCCGCACCACCGTCGCTGCCAGGCCGACAAACTGGGCTTCTGCAACATCCGTCGTTTCAAAAGGCCAGGACAAGGTGGGCTTCGTGAGGAGCTCAGCAAGGCCACAGCTCGGGGGCTCCGGGACCTGCGGCACCTTCACGTAGCTCGCCTTCGGCTGCCGCGGCTTGGAGCTGACTCCCAGGACGCATGCCAGGCACACCAGGCTCTCGAGCATGTGCGATAGGCAGTGGGGCTTTAAGCTAGTGTGGAATTCTGACGAGGGAATTCTGAGACCAACTGAGCACAACAAAGATCGAGAGAAAGATCGTTGAAGCGGATGAAAGCAGAACGCGCTGCCACTACAAACCTTCTCGAGCCTTGCTGGAGCACGCTCTCTGAAAAAACGTGCACAACGGGAAGCCCTCGTCGTCAGACTCTCAAAGACTGAAACCTTCCCAAAGTCAACACAATTAGGCGCGCAGAGCAAGTACAGTAAGGATCTGGTTGCCTCACGTGTCAGTCTGGCAGTCGCAGCTGTAGAAAGAAAGTAAAATCGCAGCGTATGCCTTGTGATTGTCTGAGTCTCGTGTCTGAGTGTCCCAAAGGAGGTGGTTGCAGCGGTGGTTGCAGCGACAGCAGCCCTAAGTCCCAGAAGTGATGTCGGGGCAATGGGCATGGCAAGCCCTCAACCCCCTAAACACATCTAAACACAAGAAGCCCTGAAAACCGAGAAGTGATGCGGAAGATTGCGGAAGTCCGGCATGACAATCCCCAAGCCCTAGGCCCCTAGGCGGCAGCTAAGAAGCGATGTGTCGCACAGGCAATGGATGATTCAATGGCCGCTCAACTCCGGTAGCCCAAGAGGCCGCAGAAGCAATGCCAGTGGGCAAACCAGCAGTAGTAGTGGTAGTAGGGGAGTGGCGGGAGTGGCGGGAGTGGCGGGAGTGGCGGGAGTGGCGGGAGTGGCGGGAGTGGCGGGAGTGGCGGGAGTGGTAGTAGTAGCGGTAGCGGTAGTGGCAGAGGTAGTGGGAGTAGCTCTGAATTTATGGCGCGTGAAGTTCAACATGCATCACAGCCAGCACCGCCAGGACTACGCAGCAGGATCTGTTCTACAAGGTGCGCTCGGTTGATTATTGGAAAGCTGGGCTCTTCGTTTTCCAACGCTTGGAAGCAAGCCGAACCATGCAAACTGCGGAAGGATTCGGCTACGGCACAGAGCTAAAAGATCTGACGAATCATTCCTCACCAGCGTGGCTTCTCTTGATCTTCTTGTCCTCACACAACGGTGATTCAGCATGACTTTGGCACCACATGTCACAGGACGCAGCAAGTGCCAGACCTTCTTCTGTGCTTTGCGTGCTTTGCGCTGCTTCCAGAAAGCAGCGTTCTTCTGCTGCTTCTTCGACAAAACACCGGCACTCCGGGCAGCAGCCTGTAGTTTAGAGCGTGCCGTGCCTACGGCCACCAGCATAGCAACACGCAAAGAAAAAAGAGAACCCGGATCAGCGTTTCCGCCTGAGTTTCTCTGGCAGCCGCCCTTTCCAGGCACTCCGCCTCGTAGGCCTGCAACCCCATGGCCTCCCAACGAAAGGCACATGCAGACACTACCTCTGTCGTACGCTGGCTTGTATTTCGTGACCTCTTCTTGTTTGCGCAAGTTGGCTGAACGGCGATTGCAACAGCGCAATCGGCTCCGGAGTGGAGACTAAGGCACCATTGGCACTGCAAGCCAGGAAACTGCGACTTTGTCCTTGCAAGAGACTGAGTGATTGTCTGTTGGTCGGTTTCTCACTGTTCGGATACATCTTGAATTTCATGCTCTCCCCAACTCTCCCCTCTTCCCATTCTCTGGTGCCAAGCCAAACAGGAAAGGTTTCAGCCTCAGCTGTCGATCATTGTTTTGAACGGCTATGCTTGGATCACCACGGATCGGAGCCGGACCCGCCCCCCACAACAAAGCAAAGTGCCTGGAGTGGCCACGCAGAACGAGGTTTGAAAATAAGAGCTCCCCCGGGTCACAACGTTTAAAACCGAGCTTCCGAAAACACCCGCGATTATGCTTAACAGGGTCAAAGCACCATTTATCTCAGTCTTTCGATCTTGTCTTCAGTCGAAGACCATTGCGAAATCAAGCGCAGTAACCGAGCCACCAAAGAATCCTTCGCGAAGCGATCCAGACAAGTAGCACGCCGCATGTATCAAACTACGTTCAATGCTTCAGCTCCGGGGCTGGCTCAAGCATGTTCGAGGATTTATACAAACGGGCCACACATTCTCCGTTGGAAACGCATTGAGGAAACGTTCCACCCTTTGTAAATGTGGTGTCGCTGCCGATCCACTCGCCGACAGGAGTAATGGCTGACATGGCGTTGGGCTTTCCGGGGAACATTGACTCACTGAACAAAGATGCCCAAGAAGCCAAGGACCTCAGAGGAGCCCAGGAGAACTCAGGGGGCAAACGTGCTACATCGTCCACGAAAACAAAAAACACTGACACGTGGCAAAGAGGGTCTGAGAAGGACTGCCACTCCGTATGTGCACATTCCAGCGGCCCACGTAAGCTTCACCGAGAAGTGCAAACGCAAGAAGATCATGCGAGCTCCGCCCTCACACAACAACGGGAAAAAGGCACACTGATGTCTAAAGCCCAACGAACAACACCGGCACCTGCAACAGCCCCTACGCCGGATACTGCCTTGGCCCTTTCAAAGTGGCGCTCGTTTCGCTTGTGCGCGGTGCTTTGCAGGTGAACCTGGCAGTTGCAGTGTGTGTTTAGGGCACCTTTCCCTTTGAAGGCTTCAGCACCCTCATGAGCACAGCAGACGCCTCCAGCTGCTTAGCAGTGAGCAGGATCTTGTCAGGGCAGAGTTGACAATGATACTGCCCTCGAAACGGTTTCTCCTGCCATCTACTCACATCCTCTCACTCTGGCCCGATGATGTCCATCAAAATTTGCTTGAGAAAGCAGAGCGCGCGAAGCGCCAGGATCGCGAGTCTCTCCTCGGAATCTGGCACCGGGGGATCATCGCCGGAGTCGCTGTCTGTGTCCTTTGCACGTGTGAAAGTCTCTCTCAGTCTGCGAAAGCCGGACGCCTTTCTTTCCCTGGGCAGCTTTCCTGCGACTCCTCCTCCTCCTCCTTTGCCATGTCCTTTCTGTTCTTTCTCTTCGTGCCTGCAACAACTCATGTGCATGGACGTTTGCATGGTCTCCAGACAACCCAACCTCGCTGTGCTCCTGGAAGCAAACGCCTTGACCAGCACAAACGTCTGTTGCGTGCGTGCCGACTTAGGCGGATGCGGGGCCTTTCAAGCTTTTGCCGCTGAGCTGGCGTGACATCCTCGGAATCGTCGTCATCCTCTGCAGCCCCCTCGCCACCGGCGAAAAGGCCGAGGGCTCGCTTGATCATGGCTCGGCCGCGGCTGGCCGCGGCGTTGCGCCAGTTCAATGTCAAAGGATTCTCGCAAATTTAGATGATGTGAAAACTGTATGAGAATCTGATGCATCCCGAAGAAACATCGACATCGAACCGAAAGGTTGTATGATCTGTACATGCTTCACTAACAGAAGAGATGAAGCTGGTGACCCAAACACCCCAATGAAGAATAGAGTCTCAAGAAAGGGCGATGCACAGCAAAACAGCAAAGTGGCCACCTTTCCAGACATGAGCCGTCCAGAGCGTCTCAGCACTGAGCAAAAGCAGCAACTCATTCCACCACCCGAGTAGGCTATTCGGCATCCCCACGGGACTGTTTCCCATCGGCAGCCTGCATTTGTATCTCCGTCTGGAAGGGACCATGCTCAGATGCTGCCACTGACAGGCAATAACCACCCCCCCCGCCCCCCCCCCAAAAAAACCAAAACTTTCCCAGTTCTGACGACCCCCCACAGCCTTTCAGACCGAGTGAGATCGCGCCACCGGGTCTTCGCTGTGACGCGCTTTGCTTCGGACGTTGCCAAAATTCGGAGTGATTGGCACAAGACCTAACCAACCCCCCCCCCCTAACCACAGCAGTGGACTTCGTGCGGAAAGACACGAAACAACCGGGCGCCAGATGCGCGCGTGACCAACTACTTGGGAGGCTTTTATGCCTGACGCGAGTATTGCTGGTTCTGGGGTCACGTCCAACATGTGCAGCGATGCCGGATTGTAAAAGGGACTCAGAGTATGAAGGTTCAGCAACTTTGGGAGTTGTGGCACAGCAAGCTTTGCAACATTCATGGCATCAACCAGTTTGCCGGCCCGTGGTTGCACATGCGATTCCAAGCCCCTCGATGTTCAGTCAAAAAACCGCCTCATGCAGGGCATGCCATGCGGCTTGCTGGCCACCTTGTTTGGATGTTTCAGGGATCATGTATTCAAAGTACTCCGACAGCTCTCATGTGACTCACGGGCACGGATGTGCACAGGACCCCGGCACGAATTGCAACTCTTTTTCCATCTCTGCGCAACCTACTCGAACCGTTTCCCCGGCCCTTTGGCGGCGGTGTCATTGCTCTCCAGAATGCTCCTCAAACATCGACTACAGATGTATATATTGCCGTACGTATTGCACACGAATTGTATACTAGTTATATAGTTCTTATCGAATGCCGCACATCATGGAATCCACAATGGCAGAATTGCAAACTTGCGATCACAGCGACCTGCAGCAAGTGCTGAGTCTGGCTCCTGACGAGGCCTGCGTAGGTCTGCGGATTGAGCCCGTGATTCGCGACGACCAGGAAGATGGGCACCGTCTAGGCGGCGAGCTGAGGCAGGCAATTTTCCCCAGCACGTTCTTTGCTCCGTCTGTGGCACCAGCTTCCATGTCTGATACACAGTCACATGCTGTCACACAGAAGAGTTTTCTGATCGAAGGGCTCTCTCTCTCCCTCTTTCTCTCTCTCTGGCCCTCTAAAGAAGCTTTTTATGACAAGAATCGTTCGTTACTCCTGTGTTTCCGGACTTTACTTTGAGGCCGTGAGATGTGCAGCTGCTGGCCCCCGATGTGGCACCCCCCCCGGCCCCATCCCCCTTACTAAAGTCCGCACTGAAAGTCTAAGAGAGGGATAGTTGGTCTTTCACAGCACTTTTCGAGTTTATGTTCGTTTTGGCTTCTTGGTGAGAAGCGTTGGGAACAACGATCCAGTATCCTTCCACCCAACCCTTCCCCTCGCGCCAAATTTGTGACGCACCCACCCCCCCCCCACCCTGTGGGACCCCCCCCCCCATCGCTTCGAGGAGCTGCAAACCAATGCTGTGAAAAGTCGCCCCCCCCCCCCCTCTGGGGCCCGAGACCCTTCTCTGGACCCCTCTCCTTCCTCCTTTCCTGTGGGCCCGCCCGGCTGCCGAGGCGCCGCAAGCGTTTACAATTATCTTCTTCCTCTTCCGTTTTGTTTCCGGGCACCTCTCTCCGCATCCTCGCTTCAGCGCTCCATAGAAGCTTCTGCGCAACTGAAGAATTCTATTTCCGAGCTGGCCACATTCGCACAGTAATTCCAAAACCTTCACTTGCGTGTCTCAGCCCCAAGAACCTGGGGCTCCCACCTTGCCTTCTCAGAGATTCTGTTGCGATGCGCTGTCATTCCAAACCCTTGAGGGGTACTATTGCACACTAGTGACCACGCTAGTGCACTCCTGGGGTCCCTCCCTTGCATGTGGACAATTCTCACAACTCTCTCTTCTTACAGTGCACTGCCTAAGAACCAGTTGCATCCAGCTGCATCCAGCTGCATCCTGCAGCAAGCCTTGACCAATCCCGGGGGACAACTGGGTACGGCGCCACGACGGCAACAAAGAGGTTGGTCATGAACGCTCCGACATTGATCTAGCCATGGGAACACAAAGTGACACGACTGCATGCCATCACAGCTTGCTGGTATCACACGGAAAAACTCCAATGATCTCGTCGCTCAATCAAGCACGGTTCACCAGAGATCCGGATGACCTGCAAGTGCTGGATTAGCTCCACGGTGCTCAAGCTAAGTGCGTAAGCCAGGCCCGGAAACAACACCCGGAAACAAGCAGCTGCGCGAAACCAAGCGCTGTATCTTCGTGATCTTTTTGGGAAGGGGCAGATCTCTCTGCGTGAAGGAGATAGCTCGATAAAGCTCGACAATGCCCTCAAAAGATTCCGAAAGCATTCGAAAGCCACCTCGTTCTTCGCTCCTCTTTCTGCCGCTTCAGTCTCTCCTCGGGCACAACCGCAGAGGCTGAACGCACGTGTGAGTGCGGCATGCTGCAGCATGCTGCAGCTGTGCGGATGCAGGGGATTGCAGAGGTCCTCCTCCCAGGCAGCCTAGCGCAGCAGGGATTCAGGGAGGCTCCAACGGTTTTTCTGAATGCAACACACTGAGCTTCCACCATCTTCCACCCATGTCTGCCTGTTCCTTGGCCTTCTCTTCATCAGCCTTGGTGTGCACCTCACCAGCTCCCGTTTCGCAGCTTTGAGATATCCAAGGCGTAAATGGCGTAGATCATCGATCCTTCTGGCCTTGCTTCCGGTTGCCAACCGCGCGGCACCCTGCGGAGATCTATCTCACAGTCTCACTTGTCAACTGCCCTACATCTGGTATGCCGCGCCGCGCACCTTGTTGTCCAAGATGTCATTCAGGACAATAGCGGTACGCTCACCAGCTATCCTTGCCGGTAGCGGCAGTTGGGGCAACGAGAGGTCGTTCCTACACCACATTGCATAGTCAAGCTGCCGACGAACCCGAGGATTCAATCGTGCAAGTCTCTTTGAGGGTTGAGGTCCGCTGTGGTTTACTGCAATTGTAGTCACTGTAGTCTGTAAGGTCACTGTAAATGCCTTCCCAGGCTCTGCCTGCAAGTCTAAAGGTCTCGTGCTAGCCGCCATCTTTGCAGACCGCCAACCGAGTTCCTGGCAGAATTTGACGCAGCCAAAGATGTCTCCACTCCTGAATGGCACGTGTGAGAAACATCAGATCTCTCTGACCCCTTGGAAGTGTGGCATAGCCCACAGCATGACACGGCCTGCAGCACAAATCGAGAAAGTGTTTTGTAAGGGTTCGGGACTACTTTAGCTCAGGTCCGTGGTTCCCCCAAAGCGTGGTAACACTAGTGCAGCCCTCCTTGTCCGGCTGAGTTGCCCAGTCACTAACTCAGGTTGGGGAACTTCGGTGTGGAACGGGGCATGCTGACTTGTGGAGCTGGTGATGCACGGAACCCCATATGATGCTCCGGATGAAAGTCCCGATAGTGTGCGGTGCATCATCCAGCAAATCCTGCAAGCATCACCAGCTTCCAGCACCATCACCGAGCCCAAACATGCAACACCTCCCAGCAGAGGTTTTGAGAGCAACCACCCTCTAAGTGGTTGGCAACCACGGCAACAGCAGTTCAGCAAGATTTTTGCGCCAGCAGCAGTTCACGTGCCATCGCAAACCCAGGTGAAGACAGGAGAAGCTCGGGAGACATTTCGTTCCTTGCAAGATGCGCAGCAGGGTTTGAGCCAAGTTGCTAATGATGCACGCGCATTACATGTGCTTCTGCACCAGCTGGGCGGCTGAATGGGGCAAAGCAGCACGTTGAAGTGCTGGGGCAATTAGTGAAGTATGTCTTGAGCATGCAGCAGCAAACCAACACAGCCAGCTCCTACTTCGGAGGGCGGCGCAAAAGGACATGACAAAACCCAAAAAAAGCTCTGAAAGAAAAGCCTCACTGAACCCCAAGTGGACTTTGCAAAGGTTGCAAATGTGAGGAAGTAATGCAAACCACAAAGGTTGACATGAGAGCCAGACTCGATGTCTGGACGACAGTGGTGCAAGAGATACATCATGAAATGCTGGCAAATACCTCGGATCTCGGCAGGCGTGCATCCTTTCTTGAGAGCCTGCGGAGGGACGGTGACAGCCGGGAGCGATGGATGCAGTCGCTGCACGTTCGCAGACTCTTCAGAGGAGATGAAGGGAGGCAGAATGAGGCGCAACACGTGAACGCCCCAACTCTGAGGATTGGGTGGAACTGTGCATCTTGAAGACTGACTCGAAGCTTGAAACAGAGTAAGAATGAGATGACGAGTTGGGAAAATCTTTGCTCACGGCGTTGGCTTGGCGTTGGCCGTAAGGGTCTTGCGGGTGTTTGGGGATTGCTGGACAAGGGCGTCCAGCGACATGGCGACCATGCCCAAAACACCGGAGTATGCAGAGCTGTTGCCTCTTTCTACAACATGTGGCACAAAGATGTTTGACGTTTCGGGCACAAGGCGTGCAGTGAGAAGCGTTCATGCCTTGCGAACATGCCAGAACGACGCTGGATATTTTTTGTTGCGCTTTTGCCTCAACTAATGGAACAAGGACATTTGACGTTTCAGGGACAAAAACGCACAGTCACAAGCACTCCTTTGGCAAATGCCCCCAAAGCACTGATACTTGCAGCGGCCTCTTCCTACGGCTGCCCAAGGATGCTTGGAACACGTTTCTGGAACAAGATTTGGTAAACCCAATACTTCACTACTTTTCGGCAGTTGCCCACAGAGCAGCAAAAGCTTCAGAAACGCAGTGCGCCAACGACGCTCTTGACAATAGATGCAGACTGAATCAAGGCTTCAGACACCAAAGTCATTGGCAAAAAGCATGTCCTGAACCAAAACCTAGCTGTGCCACACACAACTGCTGTAAATCCAATGCGTTCCCAAAGTACTGAAATCCCCCCCACTGCAGCTTCACGCACACACGCAAGTTGTTTGGCAAACCACGCGCATACCGCAGCCAAGCGCTTGAGCCCCGAGTAAAGTGGCCCAATGAGACCGATAAGGACATCCTTCGCCATGCGCGCTGCGTCCTGGTAGGCCGCCTCATCGATCTCCACAGGCCCAGGCTCTGCGCCCGGCCCCGCTATTTTCCGGCCGGTCACGGGATGTGTGTAGGCCTCAAGGAGAAGAGAGTCCAAGAAGAAGCCGACAAATAGAGAGCGTACAGATTTCCAGTACAAAGAAGCAAGACACGAGCACGCCAGGGCACGGTACACTGTAGGTACGACAAAGTGTGTTTGGCACTGGCGCCTTCTTGCATGAAAACTGGACGGCTTCCTCCATCCAGCGGTCAAAACTCTTGAAGGCCCCATCCTAGCAAAAAGGTTGCGACATGAGAACCATCAGAACATGCAGCCAATCTTGGGGAAGGCACTGGGCCACGGTCACGATTTGAATGCGATATCGGCCTCCTTCCACTTCCTCTTGTCGAAGTCCCACTCGCTACCTGCACACTGGGCAGCTCCAGCTCAGCGTATTGCGTTGATTCTTGGATTTGCAGAAATCGCACAAATACACTGATGAAGGGCGTATAATGAATATAATGACATTACGTTCATTACATGACCTGCTGCGCGCGACTGAGAGAATTTTCCTGGGATGATGGCTGACGGCCCGGACGTGCGTCCAGCCTGAAGGGCTCCCCAGCTCAGAAACTCTCGGGGAGACTTTTGAAGTGAAGAGAGAGATCAGAGCGCAGGCAGAGCGTTTTCAGCTCTGAGCCGAGGGCCACCAAGCCAATAGTTGCTCTCTTCCGTCCGGACTGCCTGCGCTTGGGGTGACCAAATCAATGTATTCTACGGGATTGTTTTGGGTCCATACCCTACGACCCTGAAACCTCAATGTCAATGTCCTTTCCATATTCTCATTAGAGAAGCTCGATTCCTCTGACTAGGAAGCCTATTTCCTCTAGATGAGAGAGAGAGAGAGATAGAGAGAGCAAAAACAAGAAAGAAAGAGGTAAAGACAAGCCCCGGGCCAGTGCCCCACATTTGGTTTTAGCCCTTTCCTCTCTCATTCACTCATTCACTCTCCCACGCATGAATGTTGAGCCCTGGAAATGGCGCGGGAGGCCTCCGATATGGCTTTGTCCCAGACGTCGTACAGGGACATGGTCTGACCTGCGAAGGAACGTTGATTTGCTTTGGAAGATCTTCGACGTCAGAAAAGGTTCCAGTTCCGGTGACTTCTGAGCCCGTATTCGACCAAAGCGCGTGTTACAAACCTTGACAATAGGCAGCTCGTCAAAGGAAAAGCATTCGGCCTCGAAACTTCACTTGCACTTTCCTGCCGCTGTCGTCTTGCGCAAAGCCAACATGCATAGGCCTCGGCAAGGCGTGAGTATCGTTCATTCCTCGCTGGAAGGACCCTCTGTTCTCCAGTGTGTTAATTTGACCTGTGAGCAAGGAAGCATACTCATCTCACGTTTCTGAGACTTTTGTGTTCTGGCGCAACACTGTTGATGAAATCTGAGAAGTGCACAAGTAGGAAGACTATAAACGAATTTCCCTATCACCCATCACGCCGTTAAAAAGCCGTCAAAACACGTCACAACTCTGTGCATAAGTTTGGGGCATTTGAGAGACTTGCGGAGGGCGCCACGAACTTTTTGGAATTGCGGCCTTCGGCATCCTTCGGTGCCACAAGCGCCATGTCAACTTCCAATGTCAGGGAAGTTAAACACTAATTTCAGCACCTTTCAGAGGGCAATGCTTTACGCAAGTCATTTCATCACGCCTTCAGTGTGTTATAATGTGTTCAATGGCCACCCCCATCACATTCCCCGAACTTGGAGCCGCTTCTTTCGAGCTTCTCGAGCCCTCTGGGGAGAACTGTGCTCGATGCTCACGGCAGACATGGGACGTTTGGATGTTTCAAAATATTTCCACAAATCACTGGGAGCAAAATGGCAAGACATGAACTTTTGTCAGAGATTGAGCAAGACTGGACAGCATCTTGGGCAGCAGCTGGTGCAAGTCGCCTTAGACAACCGCTTGCAAGCACCGCAAAGATCACAAATCTCTCAGTCTCTCAGGGCCAACCTTTCGAAGATACATGAGTTACAAGATACAATAGACACCTCCCCTCAAAGTGCGTGAATTCTCCGTTTCGCCTGCAAGCACGAAGCGGCACAATGGGAAACCACGAAGCGACGGCCGATTAGGCCGGCACCGATGAGATTGATGAGCATCTTTAGAAAGTCTGCATCTGAAAATTTGATGCCCTTGTCAGCACGTTGTAGGTGGCCATGACCACGTGCAACATGCAAAGCGAGCCTTGGCAACCTTGTTGTACTCGATTGCAGGGTACTCGATCCTTGCAATGTAGACAAAAGGCCCTTGACAGGGCTCGCTTTGCTTCTGTGCTTGGTCTCGATGCCCTCTCTGTCAAGAAGTCCCACTTATCTCAGGCTATGCTGGACCCGTCGTTGGACCCACCCGCGCCTTCTGCCTTCATCATACAAGACCTCTGCATGGGGTCTCAGCTTGGCTCATCTTGCGCAGAGATTTTGCCCTCTCAGATTCCCTCAAATCCCTGGCCTTGCCGTAAAAGTGCTTGATGGCTTCCAAGAGGCAGATGTTGTCCTGGCACTGTCATGACTTGGTTTAGACAGTTTGGAGCTGAGAACTGAGAACACTTCACCATTCTACCCATTCGCAGCCGATTCTGCCTGACACTTTGCAACTCTCTTCTCGCCGCAGAAGCCACCTTCAGAATCCTCGTGGACCTGGGCAGCACGCACAAAAAGTTGTTGTTGGCTCTCCAACTCTTAGCATCTGCTGTGTGCGCGCCTGGAAATGAAGCCGCGCTGTGTCCGGATAAGTGTCACTCACCTGGGGATCCGAATTCGTACAGCCGCTACAGCCGCTACAGCCTCTGCAGCCTCTGCTGTGCAATGCCCATGACGCGGATGGCTGACGCACACCAGCAATGTCTAATTTCACAGCCGCACATCCCGACAGAATCCCGGTAGACGACCATGAGGGAGGAAAGATCTGAAATCTGAACTCCAACGAAAATTGGACATGCGAGTGGCTGCTAGAAAACCGACGCCGAAGTTCAGACAGGAAATCGCGTGGCCCAGCCTGATGGCCCCAACCGGCAACATCCGAAGCATCCTTTCTTTCACACAATTGTGCTGCTGCATGGGGTCACAATGAGTCACAATGCTGTCTTGAAAAAATTCTGCACAGTCCTGACCACCCATCATTCGCTTGATTTGCCTAGGTGCAGGCCAGTGCAGGCTCCATACGTCGCTGCGAAATTCTCCTGCTGTGGCGTGCCGCCGCGTGTGCCCAAGTCCACAACTTGATCGCTTCTTGGTCCATCGCGCTTGCCTCCAACAACAGAGTATCTCTGTGGAGGGAATTCTTGCTGCCAAACGAAGCTGCACTTGACTGCGACACGGAACACCCGAAAAGCACTTTGCACGTCAATGCTTGGGAAAAGGCGCAAGTTTGTCCCACGGCATCGTGGGCTTCAATGTCAAAGCCCGACTTAGATGTCACTGTAGCTTGAAACGACAGTTTGCTGGCTGTTCACGTTTCGTCGCTGGTTGAACAAAGAAGAGAAGCTTTGCAACTATTGTCAGTCCGCGGCAGCAATGGCCGCGAGAACCAGGATCAACGCCGCCCTGGAGAAAAACCTTATTGAGTGCGCTTGCATGCATGCGAAACGGGTGGCGAAAAACTGGCAACCCAAGTTTGGGCAGTCTATCCAAAACGCTGATCCGGCTGAGGTGTGCACTGGCGCTGCATTGCATCAGGCTGCAACTACTTCCAGCGCAACATGCTCTTTGATGATGCTTGGACAATATTCGGAAGACCCTTGAAGACACCTTAAACTTACTGGGAAGTGGATCCACATACCTTGATGAGAGATCTGGCATGTTGTCACCTGTCCCTGAGCCACAACGCTGAACAAACGGAACACAATGGACTCCGGACTGGTTGTGTGTCAAAGTTGGTCTATGGGGAAGGAAACCTCACCCCAGGTCCTGACGAGGGATGAATTTGGAAGAATTTTGTACTTCATTTTTGAAATCGTTGGGCTGGTCAGTTTCTTTAATCACCTGGTGTTGCCTTGATGTTGCTGGCAACAAAGAATTCAAAACTGGCCCAGCACCGTCAAAACCGGCGACAGGCCATGCGGGTACTGGCAACAGCGTCTCATGCCCTTGAAAGGGGCCAGGTTGAGTTGGGCACATCCGATTGAACAGGCTGAGGCTTGCGACGTGAGCTCCGGCTGCTCGATCGAAACACCAGCATGACTTATGAGGTCGATGTTGCTTGTGAACATGCCCGAACATATAGAACAAACCACGGCACGGCTAAACCACCGTGTCCTCCCAGGCATTGTTGAGAGTCCTGTGCCCGACAGCCAGCGATGCTGCACAACCCGACAGCACTTGGCGATGGGCCGAAGCAGCATGCACTATACGACGAACCCCGCACAAGAAGCTTGAGGGACCCAAGCTTGGTTTCGAAACTCAGACCCAAAGTCGGGACCGGGGAAACTCAGGAGCCGACGTTCAGGAAACGCGAACAGACTGCGACAATTCGGGCGCACATCGCTGCGCGTGGGTACTACGGGAGGACCATAGACACTCTGACACATGGTACATTTAAGTCTTCAGGTTGAGGATCCTTGAACCCTGAAAACCCGAAACCCTACCTTAAACCGTAAGAGACCCGAAACCCTAAAACCATCAACCCTAAAAAGCTCCCGACGTGTTGAGGGAATACAACCTAGGTCGCCTTAAGGAGGCCCATTTTTGATCTTGATGTACAAAATGTATATTCCCTACGAGAGCAATATAAGCCTCACTACGTTCTTTATTATATTATTACGGTAATAGTAAGCTCTTGGAATACTAATAAACTTAATGAATAAAGTGAGCAAAGTGCATGAATTTTGAAATTAAGAAAGTTGCAATTTTATTATTTTTGGACATTTGTTCCTTTTGGCAGTAAAATTCATGCTGTTATAGTATATTCGCTGGTCCTGTTAATAAAGGGGCAGTAGAAACAAACAAAGCGACAATGGAGCTAAAGGCGTCTGAATCAGGCATCCTGCTCCACATTGGAGTTAAAGCACGGGGTTGAGCCATCAGCCAAAATTGCTGCCCCGTCATTTCCCTTCGATCGGAAGAGACGACGCCAAGAGGTCTCCCTAAGCCACCGCAGGAGACTCCGGACGCAGAGAAACGCAGAGAATCTCACAGTTGAACCATTCCAACTCTCGGCTCTGCAGACTTCAGCACGCTGCAACCCAAGCGACCGCTTGCTGCAACAATACTCCTTCAACCCCAAAAGCCCTAAAGCCTAAAACCTAAACACCCGAAGCCCTGAAAGCCCTTGACCCAAGAACACCTGAAACCCTAAACCGTGATCAAAAGACAGTTGCATGCCGACGAAACCAAGCACACCTCGCACACAGATAGGTGAGGAATCTGGGGACAAAACCGTTAACCCTAAAAACGAACGGTATGGTCGCAAAAAAAACGCCCACCGACCGACGCCGAGCCACCCCGAGCGACGCCGAGCGACGCAAAGCGTCGAGTGACGCCGAGTGACTTCAAGTGACGCCTCGCATCTTCGCGGGTCTTCGCGGGTTCTGCCACCGATGCAATCCTACAAAACCCAAAAGAAACCCTGAGAACCCTCAACCCTAGAACTCTGAGGCCCTAAATCCGAGAAAAAAACACCTTCTTCCAACAGCAACAGCAACGACAAAAAAAGTTCGAGACCTCCTAAGGCTATGAAGCTCACTTCGTTTTCTCGCCTCTCGCCGCAAAGCCACGAGAACATGGGAGCGTCTCGAGAAGAGACCGTAAACTCATTCTCAGCTTCGCACATCTCAGATCTCCAGAGTTTCAACTCAAAGTCTTCTCAGGCGTCCATGTCCGTGCCTTCTCTGCCACTATCGTTGGCGTCTGCTGCTTCGCCTTCTTCTCCTCCTTCACTGCTTTCGCCCTCGGCCCGGTCTCTGAGGTCCAGGGGCGCAAAGCGGTTGGACTCCTGCCATAGCTACACCGAGCACTTGAGCGCTGTGACTCACAACTCACTCTTCACAACTCACTCGTTCACAACGCTTCTCACTCAACGCTTCTCAATGCTTCTCACACAGGGGTGCGCCTTGAAGTATCTCTTGAAGCGGTTTTTGGCGCTGTCAAGACGGTCTAAGCCACCAAAAGGCCTGCACGGTGAAACGTGCCCCAAATGCCCCAAAATGTGCCCCAACATGTGCCAAATGCCCAAAGGAAGCAGAATCAATCACAGAATCTAAGTGCAGACTCTGACTGGCCGTGCCCGTGCTAGAGGATTCGGAAGAGTGACAGCACGAGGTTCAAACAGCCGCGTGAGCAGCTGAGCTAAGATCTCTCGGCCTGTAGACTGGGGGCTCCGGTACACCCGGGCTTGTTTCCGGGAAGACCTGCTCACAGGCGCAAATGGGGGGACAATGCTCTTCACTCCGGCTGCTCTCCTCACCTGTCCTGCCGGCTGGGGCATGTCTGCCGGTGCCTCGGCATCCCATGTACGATTCGCTCTTGACCTCCAACAGTTCTACACCTAAGGGCACCGCTGCTGGGGCCGTGCCTCGGCACGACGCGGTGCTCCAAAGAACATGCATCGTCAAGAACGTCCCCTTTCGGAGTCGGATGGGGCCCGGGCCATGCAGTGGTCGGGGCTTTCCATCGCGGCGGCGGAGGGCATGGGACTTGCCCTCCGGAGGAAGCAGCGCCTTGACCTGAGACGCCAAAACTGCAGTCTCTTCTTGGGCTCTTGGAGAGAAACCTGGTGCAAAGCATCCAAGGATTGAAGGCTCATTATGGCTCATTCTGGCTCATTCTCTCTTTTTGGGGCTCGGCGAAGGGTCCGCGGGGGATGACCAGCAGGCCGCGCTCGTCAACAATGCGCTTTCGGCAGGTGAAGGCCGTCTTCTGCGAACCATTCACGGTAACTTACAGCAATCATTGGCGCTGCTCTGGCTTACGTTGTCTACGTTGTCTACGTGCCTCAACGTAGTCGGAGGGCAGCGTAAAGTAAACCTCGAGGCAGGCCATGACATGCCGTGCAATGCCATGAAATGTCATGAAAACGCCTGAAAACGGAAAAACGGAGGAGATCCGAAGACTCAGCGCCGGGCAGTGTTTCCCGCTCTGTCTGCATCGACCCTAGCAATTGTGTCCGGCACAAAGGGTACGTAGACAACCTTGGACTGGGCACGGCCCCGCACATCCCTCCACCTCTCTTGTTGCATGTGATGCATCCGGCTTCAGGCAGTGGGCATCATTGGAACAACTAAGTGTAGCACCCTCTCAAAGTTGGGGTCCGCAGTTCTCCAGCTGTCCATCTGGAGCTCCCTTGGAAAACATGCCCTCGCATCTTTTCGAAATCTCAAATCCTGTCTGAGCTCTCAACTGGCCCGCTGGAGACTCCTCGCACGCCAAGCCCGAGCGAAAGCGTTTGTGGGCAGCTTGGCAAGTTTACAGCCAGCGCTTCCGGCGATGGCTCGTAGAGGTACTGGCCCTCGCCGCCCGCAACCTGAAAAAGGTCGCAAATGCCTAATGTTGGACCTGGTTTAGTGGGGGCCTCCTCTATAAAGTCAATTTGGCTGAGATATTCAGGACATCCTGACTGTTTGGGGGTCCCTCTTTAAAGGCAAGTCGTCCGGGCGCCGTAAGAAAATTCCACGTGGCGCGCCTTCAAAAAAGAAGGCCGGGCATCGCTGCCCCGTTTAAACTTATCTAAAACTCCTCCCTATTCAAATGATATAAACCCCTGGCCCCGTTTAAACAGGGCAAAATCCAGCCTCGACTGTTCGGGGGGGGGGGCACAGTAAACAGGGTTCAACATTGCAACCATACCTTGAATTGGGCTAGGGCTCTAAGCACAAAGGGTGCTCAACTGGTGCTCATCTGCGCTCGTATGCGCTCATGGGCGTCCATGTGTGCTCACATTGGTGTTCTCCCGCAGCTTGTGGGTTCCAAACATCCGGTGCCTTGATCGCCTTTGTTGCACTTTTCAATCCTCCTGTTCAAATCATCGGAACTGCTTGCGTGTTGCTCCAACCTTTGCAATGCACTCATTCCAACTTGGGTCGCCCTTGTTAGTGCAGTAAGAACTTCCGAAAGATCAGTGGGTTGTTGGGGTGGTCCATCATGTTGCATCCCTTGCACGGTTGCAAACTGTAACACCAAAAGCAAACACATGATCGCACCTCGATTCTGTTTTCTCACACAAGCACACAAACTCCTACGCATGTGCTCATATGTAATCCGGCCCCTGCCGGCTCCAGGCTCCAGCCCATGATGGCCCGCTCTGTGGTCCAGAGCAGCTTCGTCCATGGAAAAGGATGTAACTCAGCTTAAGCCGAGCAAACGGCACTGCCAGTAGCGGCATGGTTCCACTGCACAACATGTGTTCTTGGGTTTTAGACCTGCAAAGAGTTCACGTGCCTTGAAATTCCATGAACCTTATCGGGCTTCACTGTACTTCATGCGGCGCCGGGTGATGACCTCATACTCAAGTCGTCCCGGCTCCTCAGCACTATCACAGCCTGTAGGCCAGGAACGCACCTGAACCTGGAACCTCGGGGGGGGGGGGTGTCCTGAAGATGCATGCACTACAAAACGATCTGAAGGGAGGATACTCTCACAGCGTCCGGCGTCTCTCCGCATAATTGCGGGGCTGGATGGGTTTCCCCAGTAAAGCAAACAATCTGAATTTTGACCCCTCCAGGGTCCCAGGCTTAAGACCAAGAATTTCTTGACCCCTCGAGGGGCCCAGCCTTGAAACCGAAAGAGAAAGGAAAGAGAGAGGAAACAAAAAGCAAAGAGAAAGAAAAGAGAAAGGAAAGAGAAAGGAAAGAGAAAGGAAAGAGAAAGGAAAGAAAAAGGAAAGAGAAAGGACAAAGAAAGGACATAGAAAGGAAAGAAAAAGGAAAGACAAAAGAATGAGAAGGGAAAGTTAAACGAAAGAGACAGGAAAGAGAAAAGAAAGAGAAAGGAAAGAGAAAGGAAAGAGAAAGGAACAAGAAAGGAAATAAAAAAAATAAAGATAAAGGAAAGAGAAAGACAAGAGACAGAAAAAGGAAAAGATGACTAGATTAAAGTGTGTACTTGCTGGGGGGGACTCCACTCTTTTGCTTATGACACCTAATGAAAACCGCCGTAAACCCCCCCCCTCCAGTACCTTTCGTTCGGTCTTTCCGCAACCTGACCTGACCCCTCACTCAGGCGGGACTGTGGGTTTCCCAGCAAAGCAAAGCATCTGAAATAGGTACCTGCTGCGGGGGGGACTCCACTCTTCTGCATATGAAACCCCATGAAAACCGCCCCAAACCACCCCTCCAGTACCTTTCTTCGGTCTTTCCGCAACCTGACCCGACCCCACACTCAGGCGGGACTGTGGGTTTCCCAGCGAAGCAAAGCATCTGAAATAGGTACCTGCTGGGGGGGGACTCCACTCTTCTGCTGATGAAACCTAATGAAAACCGCCCTAGACCCCCCCCTTCCAGTACCTAATTTTCGGTCTTTCCGCAACCTGACCTGACCCTTCACTCTTCTATGAAACCTAGTAAGAGCCGCCCGAACCCCTGCCTTGCAATATCTATTTTAAGTTCGCACAGGGCCCGTACTGGGCCTGTAATGTAAGCGTCTTGCAAAATGCAAAAAGCGACTGCCCAACCGACTCCCGGTACCTATTTCTTGCCCCCCCCCCACTCTGACAAAATGGGTCCCGGAAATAGGTGGCACTCAGAGTAGCCCCCCCCCCCCAGTGCCATTGCGAGGGGGTGGCCCTACTGTAACCCGTGCTGAGCGCACTCCGGTGAAAGCCTGTTGCGGCATTCTTGATTTTGCTTTCAACCACTCTTTCAACCCGTTATGAGGCCTCTTCCTCCAGTGTGATGTCTAAGAGGTCGTGTGCTGCCTGCAACACGCAACACGGAGCTGCGCAGCGTTTGCAGATCCGCTCAGGCAAGCAACTGAGTAACGTGACTGCATCCAAACTAGAAATAGAATTTAGACCCCTTATGCGCCATGCCTTTCGGCCCCTGTGCCGTCGTGCGATTTTGTAGTCTGGCACCTGTGAGAAACGGAGCGTGCCGCTTCGTGTAGGCAGACCCCAAGAGACCAGGCACAGTGACAATCCTGCAAGCCCCACCACAGCAGAGACGGCGCCAAAGTGTTGGAGGCTGGCGCCTGCCTGGGCTAAGACCTTGCAATTTTCGCCATTCTCGTCAAAACTCAAAAGAAACAGCAAAAACAGCTCAAAGCCAAAGAGAACAAGGAGAGAAGCGCCTCCTTTGCTTCCTCCGCAGTCTCGGCCGCTGCAAAGTCGCCCAAGACCTCGTCGGTGGCCTGTGGAAGTTCGCGGAGGAGCAGAGGAAACAGCTGGTAAAAGAGCCCTAAAAACACATCTAACACTGATTCAAGAAATCTTCGCCTCGGCTTCAGCAGACCCCCACCTCCCCCGCAAACACCTCCCCGAACCTCCCCGGCTGCCGAGGCGGCGCGCGCAAGCGTTTACAATTTTGTGTGTATGCACACGTACACTAATATATATATATATATATATATACTAATATCTATTTCCCGTTAAGATGTCTCCATTTGCAAGTGACTCAAAGGCAAGGAGGCAGAGATGGCCTCCGTCACCATAACACACCGGGAGCCAATCAAGCCCAGCGCGTCACCTCAGCCCCATTTCTCCAAGCAGAAACGGAAGCGCTGAAGAGGTAAAGACTCCAGAAGCGAAGCTACCTTGCGAAAATTCGCATCTTGGAGCTCTCTCAAAGGCAAGCATCCAGGGCACGCTGGAAGGCGAGATACACGGCGATCAGCAGTCTGGAAATGCAGAGGGAGAACGTGGTCATTTGCAACAGAAGAGGGCCCCAAGAAAAGCCCTCGGACGAGATCGGAGAGGTGGACCAATTTGATCATGGTACCTGTGGCACCATTGTGTCGGTTTCGATTGCAAGGGATCGATGACGAAAGCTGGGTTGAATAGCGCAAATTCGCATGCAGACATTCAGCGACTTCTCGAGCAAAGTCACCCGCCACATATGATGGATCGGAAGGGCTGTCGGCGAGAAGCCCCACCACAGTCGAGCTTTGCTTCGTTGACGGCAATGCAAAGTACGCTCTTCAGTCACGACTTTGTTCGCAGGCGAGATGTGGGTCAGCTCCAGTGTCGGCGGGATAAACAAAAGGTCAGACTTGCAAGCTGTGTTGTAAGACTATAGACGAAAGCCCGAGCTCGTCAACAAGGTTTGACATTCGGATGTGTAGAGCAGACCAAAAGGGTGGCCCCCGGGGTGTCAGAGAGGTTTGTCACTCGGCAGCTCAGCATTGAGGACTTGGGGAAGAAGGGCCCCCCCCCCCACACACAAGACCCGCCGGCCTCTTGTTTTGGGGATCCCTCTGCTTCTGAGGTGTCGCGGCGCGACTGTTGTCAAGACAAACAGAACAACGATTTTGCTGTGAAAACTTGAGTGGCTCAAGGAAAGACGCTGAGGACAGCACGGGCATCCGTCGAAACAGTGCTATGGGGGGGAGGGGCTGCCGGGTCTTGAAATTCCTGAAGGAGTGCAGCACGTACGTACCTTTAGAAAGGAAAGTCTCACGACCGGTGTGCGCTCAATCACTTGGCTGATCGTCTTGCGACAGGTGCTGTGGTGTCGAAAGGAATCGTACCAATAGGGCGGGCAACGTTGATAGCCTCCCTCAACATGAACTCCCTGGATCACTTGTGAACAGAAAGGAAGATTGTATCCACGTGTTGGCCCAATCGACGACAGCATTGACAGCGAAGGTGTTGACTTTCGGCTGGGGCTTTCCTCAACGCGAAAGCTGCAGTGTTGGCAGCCGTCAGCGCCGACACCATTCATTCAAGCAGTATGAGGAAAGCAATAACAAAGTTTCTACTCACAAGAAGCCCATCGGACTTTAAATTACGCGCTGTGACTCAAAAGCCTTGCTTGCACGTTGGCGAACCTCCCCCTCTACGTGACAGATGTTGACTGTCGGTCGCGAAACGCGACACGACATGCGGGTGACAAGGAAAGGTTGCAAGCTCAAAGCTGAGCTTGTGCCATCGCAGGGAATCGGCTGGCTTCATATATCAGCAGCAGCTTCCGAGATGCTTCCAGGGTTGCCTTTCTGGACTCCCAGAAATGCGCCAAGAAGGCGTCTGAGCTTTATGCGGCACGTGCAGGTATCGATGCCGCCAGCATGGCTGAACATCAAGGAATTCAAGGTCACCCCGACTTGTGCTTTTGGCATGAGCGGTTTGGAGGCGAGCCGGGGTGTATGATTGTGGGTGCCTCTTGCCCCCGAGCTGGATCGGGGGCTGGGTGCTGGCCGAGCGGCAGTGCCTCTTGCGCCATGACCGGAACGGACTCCCTCGAGGAACTCCGCGTCTTGATCTTCTCTTGATCTCACGCCTCGTTTCCGATTCGCGAGCGCGAAACTCCCGGATGTTTCGTCTTGCGGCATCCTGCAGCTGAAAGTCAAGGTGTTGGCCACATCTTCTTGGTCGGCAACTTGCTCCTGAGCAGCCAGACAGCCTTCCCCGGTTGCGACCTGTTGCTTAGCACGACGCTGCGCAGCCTGACGCCTCGCCTTCTCACGCCGTCTCGCCTTCTCACGCCGACTCGCCATCCAAACTCCACTCGTTTCGACGTCACGTGGGACGCATTCGTGCGACACCCACCCGAGGGCGGTACACACGCTTGCGGCGCACGGGGTTGTTTCGCTCGAGTTCGGCCACAGCGTCCTCGAGCTCAGCCAGCTTATCGGCTTGCGCGGCCGACGCGCTGCCACACTCTGGCCGAATACGCGAGAACGAGCCGGCGCTGCGCAGTGTGTTGGAAACCAGTCCTTATAAGCATAAAAGGCCTGCGGCGCAGCGCTGGAAGGGAGGGGGAGCCGGGGGAGCCAGTTGTGGGCAGGAGGCCGGGAGGGAGCTACGAGTACCTAAACAGAGATTCTTTGCGTATGCACAATCAGTTTGTTGTTGCAGAGTCCACGCTGCAGGATGTTCAGAATCGCACAAGGTCAAGAAATCGAGGACATTAGTTGGTTGATGCGTTGTACTCAAGCTCCTTATCTGCATTGGCGAATGCCCGCTTTCGCGGCACACCCTGGATCCCAGTTCCTGATCTAGACGGCAAAGGCACGCGCCCCTCGAGCAGAAAAGTGTTCGAGGTTTGCGCTCATTTTCGAGAGTTCTCAGATTTCCCTGCTTGAAATGAAGAAACAAACGGTCAAACACAGAACGGATGTCATGGTACTGGCAAAGGTGAGGCTGCAGTGCTCTGGGTTTCTTGGAAGTCGAAAAACTGCCACTTTCACGTTTCACGGGCACCCACTGGACTTGGCCTTGCATGCCCTGCATGCCTTGCTCATTGAGAGCATTGCTGGCACGGCCAGCGGAGTCTCTCTGCTGCGTTGAAAGAAAAGCGGGCGATTGCTGCTGGCATCAGTGCATTTTGGAGTTGAAGGTGGCGCGCGCGAAGCTCAGGCATCAAACGCAAGGAAACAAAAGATGAGCTCAAGCATCCCCTCAAGCCGAAAACCACTCTCAGAGTTGCTTTTGCGTCAAACTCTCCCCGAGTTGCTCGTGTGAAAGGTGGTCGTTCCCGCATCGTACAGGTCCAGGCCTTGCCGACTTTTCTGGAATCAGGGGCTGGGGCTTCTATACTTCTTCTGATCTAGGCCTCTTTTACGCTTTTACGCGTGGGGTATGCTCAGTAATGCTCAGTATAATCAGTATACTGCAACAGATGACAGATGAGCCATGCCATTGACACACGAAGGAAAGAGGCCTTGCTCCTCCTGCTCCTGGCATGGCGGCATAGCGAGGGAGGAGCCAAAAAAACCTTCCTTGAAGGCTCCGTAGGCTTCGCGGCTCCTTCGCCTTCTCCTCTGCAGTGGGAGGCGGCTCCAACCTAACGCATCTCGCTGCTGGAAGCTACAAGCGGCTACAGCTGACTTGGCTCTCTTAAAGCACAAAATGATGTGTCAAAGGTCCCGGCACAAAGACCTTGTAGCCCCTCAGCGCGACAGCCTGAACAAATGATCTTGACATCAGGCTGGAGCCCTACAGATTGCAGCATTTCCAACTCTAGGGTTTAGCAGAGTTTAGCAGCTTCAACATTGCAACAGGCAAGGATGCGAGACTCCCTCCATTCTCAAGGCGACAGTACGATGCCTTTGTGAAGCAAGCTTGCAGGCTGTTTGGAAGCATCCACGACTCCACGACTGAAACAAGATAAGAAGAGCGGGAGTGCGCAACCCCCACCCCCAACTTGCAAGTTGATGTTGGGATTGGAGGATGCTGGAGGCTTTCAACACATGCCGAAGTTTGGACTGCTCTTGCTCCTTGTCGGGTAGGTTTTGTGTACCGGATGTTTTGCTGCGATTTCTTCTGGTTCAAGCTACGGCATTGCGCCTCGCACAATCCATGATCCCTATGCGTATGTGCAGTTTTGAATTGAGACACCATGCTCGGGCCGAGTCTGCCTAGCCAACGCTCGACTACCAGCACTTCACAATCTCTGTACGTCGTCGCACAGCGCTGCAACTCGCAACACGTTTCGCAATGCTTTCATGCGTGGTAGCTAGGACCCGTACGAAGTGCTGCACACTCCAAACATCACGGCAAAGGCTCATCTTGGCACACACACCCCGCCCCGCACCCGCCACGCCCCCAATCTCGTGCCCCCCGCACGTCCCCATCACTCCCCCATCACGGCCTGATCCCGCCCCACCACCCCCCCCTTCGTTCGGTGCCTTGACGAGAACCAAACATCCGAGGTGTGCTTAGGAAATAACGCTCCCCGACTGGTCGACCAAGCCTGTGGCAAAGCTCTTGCAAGATACAACTCTTCGGACGATTAGTTGCCAAGAAATCTCGCGGCGATCGCGGGGCTCCGCTGTCGTGGCCCGTTGCAGGTTGCCAACAAAGCTTAGCCACAGACGCTAGCCGTTAGCCGTCACTCTATTGTTGGCAACATTCCAGCTGTGAACGGACAGGTGTCTCTGCTTCACAGATGACCCGTCTCAGTGCTCATTGTGCTCACTGCTGCCTCTTCTGGCGACTCGACTCCATGGAGACGCAGCGCGAAGACCCGGCGCTGGACCTCGAGTCGTTACGAGCATGGTGACGCCGACCAAGCTTGCGACAACTTCCTATCGAGGATGGGCGACTAGGACATGTGAACAAAAGCGCTCCTCTCACTTTCCGAATTTCCGTGACAAAGCAACGCATTCCGTGCAAAACCCTTCGCAAAGCTTTCATGCTCCAGGCTCTCCGGCCCTCTTGCCAGTGAGGATCCTCCAAAGAGACAGCAGCAATGCGACAGCGCAAGTGGAACAAACACAGAACACCTCAGAACACAAGAGGGCACCGGCGCCTGAAAGGTCGGGGAAAGCGACGATGGGGCGCTTTCAGGTGCACCTTCCGATCGATCGCGTCACTCCGCATCCTGCCCTGCCCTATGTGTCCTCTCAAGACTCAGCAACCGGCCCGTTTCGAGTCTTCGGTAAAATTTGAGAAATTCCGTCCTGCGTGTGGCGTTGACCGCCCCGCGGCCACCCCGTGCCAAAATCACCGTCCAGCTCGTTCACTCTCTCACACACACACACAAAGTAGCGCAAGCGCGCGCGCGCGCGCGAGCGCACGCGCGGAGGCAGAAGATTGAGCCTCAGATTCAGATTGTCCGGATCCTCGTTGTCGTTGCTTCTTGGTGGGTGACTGAGGTACATCGTTCACCACCGCGAGGTCCGAGGACATACTAGACTGGTGACCAGTCTGCATATTTGTGGATCGACTTCTCCGTTCAG